CAGTTTGAGAGCGCTAGAAATCCGGAACACGATTCGCGAGGGTACTTATGAAGGAAGCCTGCTACATGCACTCAAGAAAACGGTCACCAAAAGCGGGACCAGACTGCTCACGGAACGCTTATGTGAGTACAGCTGACGAACAACTCAGACTCATCGCTGACACATCCAAGCTGCGCCTTCCATGTCGTTGTCGACTATCAACGATCGACTTGATCTTGTAGAGGAGACCATACAATATCCGCAGCTCCGTCAGGACATCATGTTGCTCCTGGAGCAAACGTTCGACTCTCTACGATTGGTGACCAAGTTCACGTATGGCCGCGGCGATGCGGACGACCTCATGGAGTTGTCGAAGACCATCCTTGTCACCTCCAGTATCGTAGACGTCCTTCATGAGCACGCAACTTCGAGGGACTCCATTCCACTCGATACAGCATCAGCCACATCCGATGTTCAAAGACGACAATGCATTCCCATGTTGGCGCGGCGATTCGATCTAGCACAACCGCTCGAACTTGCGCATCGTATACAGTATGCGATCGATGAAGACGGCCTCTCCGAGTACCACCGCATGGAAAACGAAGAAGCGGAAGAGATGTCCGACTTGGCCCAGGATGTGATCGGTCGAGAGGCTGGAGAAGAAGATTTGAAGAGCTTGCCGAAGCGCGTTCAGCCGAAACTTACCATGATCACTGGGAGCTTCAAGAGCGCGACCGATGGACGGGAAGATGTTCACATCATGAAGCGCAATGCTAGCGCGACACTTGAACGCCTTCACAAGAGCTTGGACAAGATGACAGAAGCAAAGGTCACTTTGGAACAAGAGATGCGTCAAAAGATGGATACAGAAAGCTTGGTGTTGAAGTGGACCCCGAACCTCGCGCACATTGCTCATGTTAAGGGCAAGGACTCAGCTCGCGCCACTGCCTTTTATCCAAGAAGCTTAAGTAGCAGCAAGTCTACCCGCTCGTTTCAAATCCCGGAGTGGACTTCATTGGGAGCGCAAATGGACGAGACACGATTCCGAATTCGATCAGAAGAACAGCGTGTTCTCAGCGAGCTGCGCGAAAGTGTCGTACAGAACCTTGTGAAACTTAGACGCAACGCCGCGGTGCTCGATGAGCTTGATGTCGCATGCGCATTTGCTACACTCGCGATGGAGAAAGATCTCATCAGACCAATACTGAGTGCAGAGCCATCGCATAACATTGTCGGTGGTCGGCATCCCGTCGTGGAAGCTGGCCTCAGCGAACAAGGCCGCCGATTCGCCCCCAACGACTGCCAACTCGGCGAGAAAGAGCGCATTTGGCTCATCACCGGTCCGAATATGGCAGGGAAGAGTACCTACCTGCGCCAGAATGCACTGATCACTATCCTAGCGCAGACTGGATCTTTCGTTCCAGCCGAGTATGCCGAGATTGGACTGGTCGACAAGATCTTCAGTCGCGTTGGATCAGCAGACAACTTGTACCAAGATCAATCAACGTTCATGGTCGAGATGCTTGAGACAGCTCAGATCCTCAAAGAAGCTACGCCGCGGTCTTTCGTCATCATGGACGAAGTCGGTCGGGGAACAACACCCGAGGACGGCATCGCTGTAGGGTATGCCTGCCTTCATCACCTCTACCACGTCAATCAATGTCGAACGCTTTTCGCAACACACTTTCACGCGCTTGCGGACATGACAAAGGACTTTGAGGGGTTGGGCTGCTACTGCAATGATGTCCTTGAGGAACCAGATGGCAAGTTCTCGTACGTGCATCGGCTGAGGGAGGGTGTCAATCGTCAGAGTCACGCGCTGAAGGTGGCGAGAGTCGCAGGTAAGTTGTGCGCTTCAGAAGTGCAGTTTTGGAGATAGTTGCTAACGAATACAGGTCTTCCTGAAGATGCCGTTGCGATCGCAGCGCGGGTACTTAAAGACCTCAAGGGGCGGACGGATGTATTGACTAACTAGCGCGCGAGTCGAAAAGAGTAGGGAAAAGTGGATGTACTGTGACGAAGAACCGCGGGCGCCAACGGTGTGGGTGAAGATGATTGCCTATCATGAAATCGATCCGGTTTGGTGGGCATATCGAGTTTGCGCTACTTCAAGGGTTGGACATGTCTTGATCAAGCAACGATGCGCGAGCCTGGATATCTTCGGTGTGCTCTTGAAGAGCGTAGTAAAAGTTCTGGGATACCGTATACTATAACGCTTCATGATCAGACTCGCAGCGACTGTCGTATTGGCAATCGAGACGTTTCTGCTCGTTGTCAAAGCGCTGTAGACCCTCGGGGGTGATTTCATTGTTAGTACGAAGGAACCTAGTCGAGGGCTCCCCGTTCGCTGTCTGATCTGATGTGCGCTCCTGGTATATGTATATTTACACTACTTTCTCACCCTACTTACCTGCAGTTGACCTGTCAATCTATAACGACCAACTCTACATTCAACCAAGGACCGCCATGATGTCGATGCGTCCACAACCGAGGAAGCTGTCAGCGAGAAGCAGGGAGATGTTACGGCAAGCATCACTTATGCGAGCTCACATGTAAGCCACCCTAAAGAATACAATACCTACAACTAACGCACAGTAAAAAGCTCCGAGCGCAACGCAAACGCCTCGCCCCTCCTCCGCCTGCCCGCAGAACTTCGAAACGCCATTTTCGCCTACGCACTCAACCACGACACTTTGGTTTCTGCTGTCCCATTTTCGAGCGATCGCATGGTCAAATTTCTTCACCGAAATTCGATCAATCTCTTGTTCGTCTGTCGCCAGATCTATTCCGAAACGGCGCTTCTTCCTTACAAGCTGAATTCGTTCGTGATCAATTGCTATCACCCTCGCAGTATAGCCACATTCCTGAACCGCCGAACGTCAGCTCAGATCAAGCTCATGTTGAACGTGACGGGACAATGGGCAAAGCGTAAGCCTCGGCGCAACGAGCTCTGCGACAAGCGCATGTCTGCGAGTGAATGGATGATGTGTCTACGTGCACAAGGGGATACGGCCGCCGAATTTTGGGTATAACTGTAGCTTCATAATGGGGCGAATCTTGAGGGAGAAAGCGCGATGGTAGGACATGTCTCGCGGATGACTGGACTTTGTTGTTTCAGCCACCTTCAGCTAGCTTTACGCTAGGCGCACGGACGCTGTGTAAACACCAACAACTTCAATGCCATCCCATCACTCACGTGTTTCCTCTCAAACGTCCGCATCCGCACCATCTACTCGAAGTTCAGTCACGACTAGTTCATGTCGAGTCCAGAGACGCACTCCCAGGGCGCTAAGCCGCACGCCAATCCGACTGTCGAGGATTATACTCTCAACCGCAGTGCCAAGCTCGCGATTGAATCTCATGCAACCAGCGCCGAGCACGAGATGTAGGCTATACGCAGACAGGATGAGGTAACGACGACTAACAAGTGATAACAGCTCCAAATGCGAAGCCACTTCTCCTCTTCTTCGTCTCCCCGCTGAGCTTCGCAACCACATCTTCGCCCTTACTCTCACGCACGGAGAAATCACGTGGTCTCAAGGCACCTGGCCCAAGACCAAGAACTTGGCTAATCTTCTTTTTGTCTGTCGGCAGACGTATGTGGAGACTGCCCTTCTACCGTACTCACTAAACACCTTTGTCTTCGTGACGACTCGCATGAAGTCTATGGGCAGTTTTCTAGAGCGCCGAACACCTGCCCAAATCGAGCTTATACATGAACTGAGTTTGAGATATGTAGGTAGCAGAACACCGAAAGGGTACTTAACGTTCCCGGCGACCAACTGGATGACTGTATTGGAGATCTAGGAGAGCAGTTACTTGTAGCATGAGCAGAGACTCTTAGTCTGCTTACCTCGACTGGACAGTCTTTGTACGACACTAGCGTAACTTCTTTTCGAGCAACCTTTACACTCTGAAAAGGGGCGTGAGCGCATTGGTTCGGTGATGCTACTCAAGCCCATTCACTCGTTATTTCTTGTATCCAGCGCACTGACCTATAGCGTGCATTCCCGCTTCTTATTTTCCTTATGATTTCTTGCGCTCAAGTGACGGTTTCCAACAACTCCAGGATGTCGACCTCGAAAACGCAGCGCACCATGTATGGGACGACGAGCCGCGCGAATAAACGTCGAGACAAAATGTTTGTCAAAGCCTAACACGATTTCCAACTGTCAGCTAACAATCTTCGCCAGTACCGAGCGCAACGCCATCTCGTCTCCACTCCTCCGTCTTCCCCCCGAACTCCGCAACCACATCTTCTCTCTCGCTCTCAATCACGGTTACATCCCGATAACCTATCCAGAGCGCTCTCGCTGGAAGATTAAACGAGCCGCGCCCCAGTGCTCGCAATATCGCTACCACTACGAGCGGATCTACGATCTCTTCTACAAGCGTATAACCTTCTCTTCGAGGTCCTGCTGCTTCAAGCTCAAAAAGCGTCCATCCCGCAGATCCAAGCCTCGCGACCATCTCAGGCGGCCCATCAATCTTCTCTTCGTTTGTCGCCAGATCTACGCCGAGACCGCGCTTCTGCCGTACAAAGTCAACACATGGGTAATCGAATTAGATAGGCCCTGGGAAAATCAGCGATTGGGGTTAGATCATCACTATTTGTATGATTTAGCGCTATTTCTAGACACATTGACTGCAGCGCAGAGGGAGGTCATGCAGAATGTATGGTCACTTCACAGTTTTGGTGGTAGAGGGGAGGTGACTATGGGGTCTGGGGAGGACTGGATGTGGTACATGTGGCCACAAGACAGATCTAAGGCCTTTAGAACTGAGGATATTGACGACACGAGTATGTTTCTGTTGCCTTGAGGTGTCGATGTGGCAAGGTGCGATGGTCGCGCCTTCTCGAGGGTACACCCGAAGTGGGGCTAGCTTCGTAATCACCTTCAGTAGCGCAATGACCATTATTTATACTTCTCTCATTCCCATGCTCTTTCTCTTCCATAACTCTCAAGATCACGTCTTCTTTAACCAAATTCACGGCAATCAGCAGGGAAGTTAAACCCGATATGTCGGCGTCAGATGAGCAGTCAGAGAGTGATCGCGATCAAATGTAAGTTTCCCGCGGTCACGAAACAGGATGATTTGCACTGACCCTTCCCTTTAGCATCAAACGGAACGCCAAATCGTCACTTCTGAGTCTTCCCGCTGAGCTCCGCAACCAGATCTTTGCGCTCGCTCTCACACAGCCCACCATTGAGATCTTCTGGTCCGAACCGCACTTGAAGTTCAAGTTTCATGAGGATTGTCGGCCAGACTACGTTCGACAACCGCTCAACCTCCTCTTCGTGTGTCGACAAACCCATGCTGAGACTGCCACTCTTCCCTACAAACTTAATATATTTGCTGTCGATTTCGTTTACCAGCGTGATCCTCCGAACAACTTTCTTTATCAGAGGACAGTGGAGCAGAGGGAAGTGATGGGTAGTGTCAGTCCGCGAAATATCTTTTCTGGAAAAGCAGGAAAGCCTAGGTCCGCAACAGTATGGATGGCTCATATGTGGTAGGATAGACGTTCCAGTTGCGAGAGCGCGTGAATAATGCGTCTCATTGTCGATGCAAGAAGGGTTTCAATACAGCCAATGTCAATCCCTGCAAGTATGCATTTGAGATATAGAGCTACTTGTCCCGTGCACGTACCTCGTGCGACCTGAGAACTGACTGCGAACGACTATCTCTTCTTTTTCAGTCCTCCCGAGGTCCTCTACTCCAACACCCACATCTGTAAACCGCCCGGTCACACTCATCACCAACGCCGACGCCAACATGAACACAGAGAATCAACCGGAAGAACCGCGCGCTTACATGTAGGTCACAAAGCAAGGCAGTCTCTTGGGAGCACGTGCTAATCAATGATTGCAGTACTCAGCACAATGCTACCGCCTCCCCACTTCTTCGTCTCCCCGCAGAGATCCGCAACATGATCTTCGCCTACGCCCTCAGTCACGGCGACATCAAGTTGAAAGTCATCCCCAGGCTTCCGGACACAAGCATGTTTCTAGACTACTGGGAGCATCGCAACTGGCCAGATCCTGTCAACATCAGTCTGCTCTACGCGTGTCGCCAAATTTACTTCGAGGCCGCCCTACTGCCATACGAACTCAATACCTTTGTGGTTTCCGGCACCGTAAGCGCGTTCAAGGACTTCCTTGCACACCGAACCTCGGCACAGATTGGCGCCCTAGCAAGAGTGCGGAGGGAACCTAACATGCATTTGGGAGCGCGATCCGCGACTGAATGGGTGAGGCGATGCTGGAGATGAAGCGTGGACATATGGACGCGGATATGAAGTCGAGCCTAGTACTTGATATGGCAGATCAAAGGCAATGTACAATGGAGCACCGTCTCCACGTCGATATTGCATCTCATCATATACGTCTTCTTGGTCGCAAGTCTTGTCGTTCAGGATTGGGTTCGTCTGCCTTCTCTCTTACTTGCAGTGAAGTAGTATATCAAGCAATAGAACCAGCTCTCAGCTCTTACCTTTACTATTACCTGTCCTTCCTGATCGTCGGCTAGCGCGCTGACACGCAATTATATATGCCTCTCTTCCCCGCCCTTCCCTCTTTTCTATACTCCCCCTCCACCTCCGTCAGCTACCTGATACCAAACCCAAGCTCAGTATGTCGCCCCCCGAAGAGCAGCAGGAGGACACCAGCCCCAGTATGAATCCCGTCAAAGTGCAAGCAGAGAAGCTCGAGACCGAAGTGGAGTTGGAGTTCGAAGAGGAGCTCGATAACGAAGGCGAGCTCGAGAGTGAAGAGAAGCTCAGTATTGAAGAGAAGTTGGCGATTGAAGAAGAGCTCAGGATCAAGGCCGCGGAACAAGAGCAACTACTGAACGAGATGTGAGTTGCCCTGTCGTGGTATCTTGTTGACTATCGCTAACTCAGTCCTTCAAAAAGCACCTACCTCAACGCAACGAACTCGCCTCTACTTCTGCTCCCAGCTGAAATCAGGAACATGATCTTCGCCCTTGCTCTCGATCACCAAGACATCATCACAATCCGCGGGCGCATGTACAACAAAGTTCGATCACCAGTCAATCTGCTCCGCGTCTGCCGCCAAATCTGTGCCGAGACTGCGCTACTGCCATACGAACTCAACTTCTTCGCGGTATCCAACTGGGGCAAACTTTTGTTGCCATTCCTTCAGCGACGCAACCAAGCCCAACTTGGTGTTATGATCGACATGGAAGTTCTTCGGACGACAGACCTTGCGGAATTCGTAATCTTCGGAATGGAGTGGTGGGAATATGAAGAGAAGTATAGGTTGGCAGCTGCAAGGATATTCAAGTCTATGAACTCCAAGCTTTTAGCTCAGAATGAGGAGTAGCGGTTGCAAGAGTAGCGGTTGGAGTTCTCTGGATCTTCCTCTTCCCAGCAATTTCTTTCCAATTTCTCTTTAGCAGCGGGATGGTATAGCGTAAGCCAAAATGACATCTCAGTCACCTTTCCCTGCCGTTCGCGACTAGCGCGCCAAGAGAATCCACCTATTCTCTTGCACTTCTTACAAGTCTTTTGCCTGCTTCCCTTCTATCGTCACTGAAACCCCTTCCGTCTGCTACATTTCCATGATCGACAACTACAAATCCAGCATATCCCAATCCAAGATGTCACCAGAGAACATTAAGTCACCGGAGAACACCAAGCAACGCTTGGACAAGATGTAAGTCAGGTCCAAAAGCGTTGAGACCACCAGACCAACAGAACACAACAGCTCAGAGCGCAATGCAACAACCTCTCCCCTCCTTCGTCTCCCCGCTGAGATCAGAAACGAAATTTTCGCCCTCGCCATGAGCCATGGAACTATTTCCCTAGACTCCAGCCCCTCGACCAAAGATCGCCAGATTCTGCAAGATCGTCACAACATCCCCCCCTCCTCAGCCCCCCTACTCTTCGTCTGCCGTCAGATCCACGCCGAGGTTGCCCTACTACCATACCGACTCAACAAGTTCATAGTCTCGGGAAAGTATTTGAGCGCAATGCGTGAGTTTCTGAAGCGTCGGACGCCGGAACAGCTTGAGCTTATGCGGGATGTGAGGTGGAGGTGGCCTACCCATGGAAGCCCTTCGCGTATGTTTTCTGGGGAGGGCTGGCTGAAGTGGTTTGAAGATGCGGATGAGCAGGCTGGAATGGTATTGCGATAACGCAGAGCGAGACGAGCCACTCATGACTCCCAAAATACATGACTACTACATACGCAAAAGGCACTCCTCATTAATTGAGAGAGATAGCAATCCTCAAAGTCCACCTACTCAAGAAGGTCTTAAGTCTCGGTGAAGGGTGATTCGCGCTCTCGCTGTCGAACAAGATGCGTTGACGTCATGTGAGCTCTCCAGGCAGAGCGCAAACGGAGGAGTCGGTCTGCAATAGGAAATGAACTCGAACATGAAAGTGAGTGCGGGATTTTTTGCCCACAGGATATCGACGCGTCTACTTCTCACGCGTCTGTTGATTTTGATCCTCGACGTCGCCATCCTCTTCCGACTACGAGCATACCAAACACCATCATGCATATCCAACCTGCCCCCGTCCTCTCGCGCACGACCCTCAAGAAGTACACTGGCTGGTATTGCACCAAGAACGGGTACCGCGCCATCGTAACATCCGACGGCGTGTCTCTGCATGTCGGCAGCATCAGCCATGTCCGCGGTGACATCCTTGAAACCTGGGACCTGCAATGGTCCAACGTACCTTCATTCAGAACTGGTGGTGATTCGGCAGAGGAACGGGCACTCAACGCTGAGTTCCAGGCAACATTCCGTACAGCACCTGGTGGCCACCATGTCTCCTTCGACATCAAGGATGGCAAGGTCACAGGCCTGCGTGCAGGCGGAGAACACTTCGAGCGCATCGAGCGGGGAGAATGCCACATCTTCCGAGTACCTGTCGAGCTCAGGCAAACTATCTGGGGCTATGCTCTGGACAACAATGGCGAGAACGTCCTGCTGAGCAAGCAGAAGGGTACCAGCATCACTGATGGTCATTCACGGATGGCCATCAATCGCATTAACGAAGTGCACCGCGACTTCGCGGACGAAGCCACGCATTTCGAGCTTCGATACAATACCCTGGTGTGTACGGACGTAGGAAAGTTCGTCAAGCTCATTGAGATGGACAAGACACGGCTCCGGCTCTGCCTCCGACATGTCGTCCTCAGGACAGCATGGGGCATGTCCCCGCTCGTCTTCGGGAAGACAAAGGATATCCACAGCATATTGGCGTATGCCAAATCCAACCTGGCGGCGACAATCCAGGTTCGCCTGGACTTTTGGACGTTCAAAGGGGTACTTGCCAAAGACATGCTGTCTTTCGTAGGGTTTGGGAGGGGCATACGGGAGGCTGTCCGAGGACAGAGGTCCATTATGTGTTGGCCGGGCGATTCTGGTATGCTGGGACATTGGCAAGGTGTGCCGAAGGCACATGGGTTGAATGCTGGCAACGTAAGGTTCTTCCCATCCGAGGAGGTATTCGACGAGGCTGCGTTCCGTTTCCAGGTCTCCTTGGCCTTGAGGAAGACGGTGACATTCCGTCACGCATTGACCCCTTATCATATGTGGCGGCCAACAGCCATTGAGAAGCTCGTCGAGGACGTAAGGGGGTGGTATGAGAACGGCGCGTGAGGGGATTGTAGTTGGCAACTAGTTATTTCGTTCTTGTAATAGTACTGATAGTCTCTCTATGTAGTCGCGAAGTTCAGCGACCAGTCACAACTCATCTACATCTCGAGCTAATGTCGTCGTGAGTCGCCGCTGCGAAGAAAGGGTTGTGCCCGCCTGCTACCTTGACGTTGAGCCTGAGGCACCATCTCGGCCCTACTATTGCTCAAATTCTCCATGTGGCTGAGGCGAAGCTGCGCGATGGCGCAAGGCAAAAGAAGGGTCCCCTTCCGGCACCCGGAACTTCGCCAATCTTCGGCGATAAGAGCCCTGCCTGATCGCCCCCGCGCTGATTGGCTCGGCCAAAAGCGGTCATAGCGTACCTTCATCGAAGCTTCCCAAGCAATGCGCAATGGCAAACGCATGTTCTCACGCCATGTACAGACATTGGGATAGTGAATATTGGATTTCGCAGTGACGTTCGATAGAGTGGAGCCTGCTGCGTAGTTTGGGCAGGCAGACGAGCGGATTCAGGCAATCTTGGGCTGGCGAGGCAGCGTGGAAGGGCATGGAATTGTTTGGAATCTTCTCTCGCTCGGCGCAGCCGGTGCATTTGCAACATCCCGGTTACTACTTTTAAGTCGACAAGCGTTCGCCCTCCCACGCACCCCAATATACACTGTGAACACGCACCTTGCCTCCGAGTCAGATACCCGTTTCTTCACTTTTCGACCGCGAAGACTCCCGCGGCGACTCTCGGTAAGCGCCTTTTCGCTCATTGTGTCAGCACTTCGACGAGTTACCCGCGCCTTCTTTCACCTGCAAGGCTGAGCTGCAACCGGGCGACTACTGCGACTTGTGGCCCACCAAGACTTGACGCTGACTTGATTTAAGATCTTCCCGACACCGCGACTCGCGCTTTCCACAGATCACCCAGAGACCTTTCTCTATTGCCCCTCAACCCGACTTTTACGACCCCGCTAGCCCCTCGTCCACGTTTCGACACCACAACCACGAACCGCGACCATGGTTAAAGACACAAAGTTCTACGATATCCTGGGGGTAAGCACAATCATCTCCACGAACAACTAAGGCGAGAAGACTAACAACCCACAGGTAGCGCCAGACTGCGCCGAGTCACAACTAAAGACGGCGTACAAGAAGGGAGCGCTCAAGTGGCATCCCGATAAGAACGCCCACAACCCCGAGGCGGCCGACAAGTTCAAGGACCTCTCCCACGCATACGAAGTTCTCTCAGACCCCCAGAAGCGCCAAATATACGACCAATATGGCGAGGAAGGACTCGAGCAAGGCGGCATGGGCGGCGGTGGCGGCATGGCAGCCGAGGACCTATTCGCACAGTTCTTCGGCGGCGGCGGCGGTCCCTTCGGCGGCATGTTTGGCGGCGGCATGGGCGGCGGACGCGAACAAGGACCCAAGAAGGCGCGCACAATCTCGCACGTCCACAAGGTCTCGCTCGAAGACGTCTACCGCGGCAAGGTCTCCAAGCTCGCGCTCCAGAAATCCGTCATCTGCCCCAAGTGCCACGGCGCGGGTGGCAAAGACGGCGCCGTCAAGAAGTGCGCTGGCTGCGACGGCCGCGGCATGAAGCACATGATGCGCCAGATGGGCCCCATGATCCAGCGCTTCCAAACCGTGTGCCCCGACTGCCAGGGCGAAGGCGAAATCATCCGCGACAAGGACCGCTGCAAGCAGTGCAACGGCAAGAAGACGATAATCGAGCGCAAGGTGCTGCACGTCCACGTCGACCGCGGCGTCAAGTCCGGCCACAAGATCGAGTTCCGAGGCGAGGGCGACCAGCTCCCCGGCGTAGAACCCGGCGACGTAGTGTTTGAAATCGAGCAGAAACCACACGCGCGCTTCCAACGCAAAGACGACGACCTCTTCTACCACGCCGAAATCGACCTCCTGACCGCGCTGGCCGGCGGCCAGATCCACATCGAGCACCTCGACGAGCGCTGGTTAACCGTCGACATCATCCCCGGCGAGTGCATCTCCCCCGGCGAAGTCAAGGTCATCCGCGGGCAGGGCATGCCGTCGTACCGCCACCACGACTTCGGCAACTTGTACATCCAGTTCGACGTCAAGTTCCCGGAGCGCCTCGGTAACAACGAGGACGGCGGGCCCATGTCCCCCGAACAGATTCGCGCGCTGGAGTCTGTGCTGCCGCCCCGCAAGGTACCGGAGTCTATGCCGCCGGCTGATGCCATGACGGAGGACTTTACGCTCGAGGATGTTGATGCGGGCGGTGAGGGGCAGCGCGCGAGGGGTATGGGCGGTATGGAGGATGATGAGGATGATATGCATCCGGGGGCTGAGCGCGTGCAGTGTGCGTCTCAGTAAGAGGTGTGTAGCTTCTGTGCTGGAGTAGATGATGGAGTTAGCATGATTTTACGATGCATGAATGCAAAGGAACGAAGTATGAGGGTGTAGAGCAAGGAGATGGGGGCGTGAGAGGAGTTTCTTTCTGCATTTCATGGAGGTTTTCGACACTGTTAGCTTTCGAGATGAAGGCTTCTGCGATACCAAAGAGAGTTTATTTTCCTTCTTTTACTTTCTGTAAGCAAAGGCATCATTATAGCTTTGTTGCTTGTTGCCGGCGTTCTCTTAGACAGGCGAGCTGCCCGGGCAATGGCATGGTTTTGGTAAAGTGTGGGGTTGATGGTGAGTGGATTGAGATGAGATGTTAATGCCATGGTTCTGTAATGCTTTTTTATGATGAGTGCAACTACATGATTGATGTGATGTCTTGTCGTATGATATTGGTCATTGTGACATGTGGTGATGAGTAAATAGCTCCTAGGGGGTTTGATTACTAGTAAGGCCGAGAAGACGCCTCAGACACAACATCAAGGCAGCAGTAGTACATATACTGCACTCAACAAGCGGGAAAGCAGAGCCTGGGATCAGATGTCCATCAGTAGCTTATAATGACATCAGAAATCCCGTGAAGCGCTCTCATCGCCAGTGTGCATCATCGTGAACCAATTATCGTCTACTGTTCTTTCTCTCCTGCTCTACACAACTCACTCCTGACCGTACTCCTCATCTTCTCTAGTTCTCATCTTCCCCATTCCTTCTTTTCCTTCTCAACAGCCCTACCGTCCGCGTCCCCCAAAAACTCCCCACCCCCCCAGAACCTCCCTCTCCCCCCAAAACAACCAACTCCCCTCCTCACCCTCCCCATACTTACCCAACCCTTCTCTCCTCCCCCTCTCCCCAAGTTCACCCCACCTCATCAAAAGATTGCCATCAAGCACACCCCTCGCCCCAGTCCCCGCATCCCACCCGCCATCACCCGTCGCCTCGCTGCCCATTCTAAACGCGCGCGGATTGAGCGAGCACGGCGAATCGAGCGTGTTGGCGAGGTAAGCCGTCAAATTAGATAATCGACGATAGGAATCCTCGGTTAGAGGGGTGAGCAGGGCGAGGGTGCCGGACTGTGTTGTGTGCAGGATTTGGTGGAGAGGTTGGGGTGGGGATGGTGGGGAGGGGGTTGTGGTGTCCATGTCGTCTTCGTCGGTGGCGGGGTTGGCGTTGGTTGTGAAGGCGTCGGTCGTGGAAGGGAGGGATAGGTGGGATTGGACGAGGTGGAGGGAGGTGGGGAAGTGGCCGGTGTGGAAGGTGGATTTGTGAAGGAGGCGGGAGCCGGCTTCGGATTTGGGGTCTGTGAGATGGATGTGTTAGTTGAGTGTGTGGATGTGTAAGTCTAGAGGTGCGGATGAGGGACGTACTATCAGGATCGAATTGCAAGACTTGCAAATCCATATCTGCGTCTGCGACAATGAGGTGGAGTTGTTGGTCAAAGGGCAGGAAATCCACTGCGATGGTTTCTAGATTATGCTTTGAGCGGGAGAAGAGGGACATCTTGTAGGGCTCTTCCTGTTTTCGCTGTTAGCATCATATCTCATAGGGCCGAGTTACTGTAATCAGAAAACTTACTGTATACCCTGTGAACCAAACACCCCGGTACGCATCAGCCATAGCCAGCATACCCGTTCCAGGCAGGTTCTTCAAGTCGCTGACGTAGCATTGCATGTCCATAAACGCAACGGGAAGCAAGGTGCCGTCTTCCTTGAGACCACGCACCATGCACTTCTGTCCCTGGGCCATGATCATGAAGCCTTGGGTGCCCAGTCCAGAGATGGCGGATACCGCGCCTTTGACTTCATCCTTGACGATGAGCTTGAGGCGCTTATTGGTCTCCGGGCGATCCGGCTCCGGTACCACGGTGATGACTTCGAAGATACGGATGCAACCCTTAGTTGCGAGATCTTCGCCGTGCACGATCGAAGTACCGACTGCGATGAGGTCTTTACGTTGATGCGTCACTTCGCTGACTTCGAGGTTGAGTGTTTCAATGCATAGAATGACTTCTTGGGGATCCAGAACATGTGTGTCGATGATGGTCCATGACTTCTCGTCTAGTAGTTTCAGGACGCCGCGCTCAATCTTGGGCTTGAAGCTCATGTCTTCCTTGGGCAGTTCGTAGTGGTAGGTCTCACTGGGATCCAGTTGGTACTCTTCGAACTGGCCCGTTCCAACAACGTATAACCCTGCCGGGTGGTAGGCGAGGGCATGCACCTCCGCATCCATTGGCATGCGTCGTGTTGCCCATCCGAGGTGACCGTAATGTGTTTGAGGCGGAAGTTGGGAGATGCGCAATGTGTCTGTGGAATCAAGGTAGGCGAATCCGCGCTGGCAGTTTGATGTGTGGAACGATGTAAGACCCTTGACGGGCTTACCACTCAGGCCAATCACGCGTGGTGCGCTTGATGACTCTTTGAAGATGAAGGCCGGAGTTGTGCCTCGCTGGAAGACGGTACTGTAGCCGCAGATATCGCTCACCGCTAGCAGGGTGCTTTCGAACCCTTGGTCCTCAGAACCTGCATCTTCGATGTATCTTGGTATGTGCTGTTGCGACAGCTTAACCCATCGCAGGTTTTGAGTCCAGAGTTCCGAAGCAGACCGTGACGGAGAGTGGAAGGACTTGTAGATGACGA